AGATTCTTTTTCAGGAACACGAACTGCGAAAATCTGGTCAGTGGTGCATCGGTCCGGCCTGACGCCACACGGTTAAGAAGACTTAACAGCTAGTACGTTCGCCCTATCGCTGGTTTTGCAACAACATAATTTCGCACAAAGAACTATATAAAAAATTTTAAGAGTTTTTGAATTAAAAGTAGGCAGAGTACTATGTGTGTATATTGTGATAACCAGGGAACGGATTTCATGGAAATTGCCTTTTTTTCTGCTAAAGAGATAGAGTATATTCGATTAGGATTGTCCACGATTTAGCTTTCCCTGATTCGATATATGTATACACATTTGATGTTGCCTTTTTTTGCCTTTTTTAAGATATTTGCTTTTTTTTGCCTTTTTTAAGATATTTGCCTTTTTTTGCCTTTTCTACCTTTAAAAAAGGGATTATAGCATTTACAATATTTTTTTTAAGATTAGAAAATATACACATGCCCATGCAGCTTATGGAAGCGCAGGGACCTCTTGCCAAATTGGTGTTGGAAAAATTCAAAGCCGTTCTCAGCTAGCGTAGGCTTGGAGACAATAAGGGGTGTGGATAAAATTGTAAAGGGCGAGGAAAACGCCCTTATTCCTGATAATATGAACGTTTCAAACGTTCCATATTTAAATTGGGCTCCACTTGTATCAACTCACGTCGAGCGCACATTTAGTACATTCAAGGCTTTCTTCGCGAAAATCGAATGAAAATGCTGCAAGAAAACTTCAAAATGTGTGTTGTGGTTCAATGTTACTACAACTATACAGATTAAAAGTACAAATTTTTCCTATAATGAAACAAGTTCATAGTTTTTCTCTTTTTACTTGTAATATAAACATTTCTAAAATAAATGTATTTTTTGATTGTTCTTCGTATTTTCTGTCTTTTTATAGTGCATTATTTTGCTTTTTTTGTAATACTTAGTGCCTTTTCCTGCCTTTTTCGCTATTTTATTTTGCCTTTTCCATCCTATTTCGTTATTTTATTTTGCCTTTTTTATAGGTTTTTGGGTCCTAAAAATCCGTTCCCTGGTGATAACTAAGCATTACTTTATAACATTAACTAGCAGCCACCAAAATAAAGCATATTTTTAGTTTCAGCGCACCGGCCGTAGATACTTGGTATGCAGGCCTCTTTCGCATCTTTCGCGTTTGATGTTCATTATATTAAAAGTTAAGCATATTTGTTATCATAATTGTTCGCTAACCTGCCATAAAGTATTGTATTTTAGCCTTGACTTTGACATTCCAAATACGCCAACTTTGTGTGTGCGTGTATTTACATGAAGTATTCAAACTTCAAACAACTTCTTCATGCTGACATGGCAAACATGCACTGGGGTCATTTGTATGCAATCCACATACTTCGTTGTTGTGAACTGATGACAGGATGGAGGAGTTATTTATAAATAATTTCCATAATTCACGAGCATTTCACGTACAAAGTTGACAACAATATCCGTAATAAATTCCAAACTTTTAGTACAAAATATTGCATATTGGCGAAGCATTGTGCACAAATGCTTACTTACGTTACATGCATATACATATATCCTCTTCTTCTTCTTTTTTGGGGCTGTAACCACCTAAGCGATTTTGCCAACTGACGCCAATTGGAAATGCCAAGTTAAGCCAAGTCATTCTCCACCTGATCTTTCCATCGTAGTGGGGGCCTCCTTCTTCCTCTGCTACCACCAGTGGGTTCCGAGTTGAATACTTTCAGAGCTGGAGCGTCGGTGTCCATTCGAACGACATGACCAAGCCAGCGGAGCCGCTGTATTTTAATTCGCTGCACTACGTCTATGTCGTTGTAAAGCTCATACAGCTCATCGTTCCATCGTCTGCGGTACTCGCCGTCGCCAACGCGTAAAGGCCCGTAAATCTTCCGCAAAATCTTTCTCTCAAACACTCCAAGAGCCGCCTCGTCGGATTTTGTCATTGTCCATGCTTATACATATGCTTGTACATAAACAACATTCTTTCCATTGCATATCCCTACGGTTTTGTATTCCTCATTTGCCTATTTTATAATCAGAAAATAAATACCCACTTATGTACATACATACATACATATGTATATTTTTAAATAGTATTTATATATGTACATATGTATACCACACAGTACCTACCCTTTAAACATTTTGGCGAACGTTCGAAAATTACCTTCAATATCCAATATGAACATCGAATTGAGAACGAACTCATAACCAACCTTTACAAATACAATCGAGATGGGCTCGAAAAAAAATTATAACCATAGTAAAAAGAGAGAAAGTGAAATCTAGCTAATTTTCCAAGGGAAATACAAGACAATCACTCTCTCTCATTAAAATTTCAATGCGATAATGCACTGGATTTCGAATTCATAATGAAGGAAAAAAACATTGGATAACGAAGTTTCCGTTTCGCTGGAGAATGGCCTAGTTCTCGAATCGAATACTAACCTATTCCACATTCGTTATCGAAGGTGAGACTTAAAAAAAAAATGTTAGTTTTCCGATCATTTTCGAATTGTTAACCAAGCCCAATGTTTATTGGGTATACTACGCAAACGAAATAAATTCCAAATAAGTGTNAAAAAAAAAAAAATGTTAGTTTTCCGATCATTTTCGAATTGTTAACCAAGCGCAATGTTTATTGGGTATACTACGCAAACGAAATAAATTCCAAATAAGTGTTAACTCATTTCTATCACTTTTATCCTTCGCAGCGACCTTGCGAATGCCAGCGCCAGCGCAAGCGTTGCTATTGCTTCCGTCCACATCGCAACGAAAATTGGCTATTCTCACGCTACTCAACCGGCTGGAAGTGTGGCCTGCACGCAGATTGGACGGAATTGACTAGTTGTGTCGACATCGAGCTGGACAAGAATGAGGGTGAGACGGCGAAGCGGAGATACTTCTACATAACACTGCTTCGCGAACCCATTTCGCGTTACATGTCCGAGTACCGGCATGTGCGGCGCGGTGCTACATGGAAAGGTTCGCGCCATTGGTGTCTCGGACGCCAAGCCACCGCGACTGAATTGCCACCCTGCTACAAGGGCAAGGATTGGTTGGGCGTGGAGTTGGATGAATTCGCCGCGTGCGAGTCCAATTTAGCAGCCAACCGGCAGACACGCATGCTGGCCGATCTGGCGTTAGTAGGCTGCTACAACAAGACTGCAATGCCGGCGCACGAACGCGACCGCGTGATGTTGGCGAGCGCTAAACGCAATTTGGCTGCTATGGCATACTTTGGACTCACCGAGTATCAGAAGGTAAATATTCTTTGAGTTACCCATGTAGGAAGTTTTAATTAATTCATGTTCTATTATACAGATGTCGCAGTACATTTTCGAAGAGACATTCAATCTTCGATTTGCGATACCTTTTGAGCAACACAATACAACAATTTCTGCGTCGGCGGTGAACAATTTGCGACCAGATCAAAAGAAGCGTATCGAGGAGCTGAACAGCTTGGATGTCGAG